GCGTTCTGCCGAACCAAAGCTGCGGCATGTATGCCCCCGGGCTCTTGCGTCTGGCTGCTGTCTTGATTTCTGCGGCATTCGCTTGAGCCATCGGCACTCGTTGTGTTGGCTGTTGGCTGGCAGAAGCTTTTCTTTCTTGGCTATCATCGGTCTGCAATCGATTCACTGCGCATGCCAACGATTGTGAAGTACCACCCTCCTCGACCTTCCGCTGGTAGCACGCATCTACCTCAAATCGCACGACACACGTGAGATCTCCCAGCTGGTATCGAAGAGCCCGGTGATGCGCCGTGCTGTCTTCTAGCCCAGGCGGGTATCGAGTGAGGGTGCGCTCGAAATTCCTGCCCCACCCAGAATTCTGCGAACCGCCGATCAGCTTGCTGACGGTCTTCTCGCAACGCTCGATAATCAGGGTGCGGTGAACCAGGTACAGATTAATTCGAAAGCTGTCTTGTCGCCGCCCTTGGCAGAAGTCGAGAAGCTTCCTGAGACTATTTCGATTCACCAAGATGTCGACTTCGTCAAAGCGGAATGACGGGTTCATCGATGCTGTAGCGCGAAACAGCGGCTCAAAGGAATATTCAGGAATACGCGCCGTGCTTTCATTTATTGAGCGGGTAGCCTGGTCTCCAGGCACCGTAATCGGTAAGGAAACCTCCTGCAAGACCGCTGCAAAGCCTACTGATAGTCAGTCATGTAGTATTGTCCCCAGGTACTTGAGGCCCACCGGGTATTTGAATCTTCAGATCCTGGCTAGCTTTCCAATTATAGCTACAAACCAGCTCGGAATCTGCTGCGCTGGATACCATGGAGTCCGATGGCTCCACAGGATGCTTGACACAGTGAATCACCCAGCTGTCCATCACGGCCTCCCACATCCACGCGTCACACCCGGGGGAAGTGGGATCCGGGTGGGGTTTTGTCACAAAAAGCGGGCCCACTCAATGTGGGCAGCATTAACCACATCCATATCTCGTGACAGGTTTCCCCGTCTCTCCTTTCCGTGGGTGTTCGTTCTTCCCCATCTGATGGTAACCCGGATCTATGGGCAGAAAAGACTATGGTTTGCTGGGTGAAAACTACACCATGCGCGATAACAATGCAGCTAGAGTCGTGAGCCAGGTGTGGTGAGGATGGACATCGTATGTGAAAGATCTGAGAACGGCAGCGCGAAACGAACGGTCGCCGCCCAGATTTAGGCGTGGCTGCTTTGGATACCAAGAGTCGGTACTCGAATTGTCTAGTTCGCTGGCGTCATCTGGCTTTGAAATCGGGCCTGTGAGGTCGACCTCCTACGGCACCCTGCAGCACAGTAAGAGGCCAATGTACAGTATGCCACCAGCGTTATTTCCATTGGATTTTAATGCTTGGTAAAGCAGGCTTAAGCATGCAAAGCGCCTTGGAAGAGCACGTCCCTCCGCTCTATTGGTATCTAGTCCCTAATGCAGATGCCTTTAGGTTCCATTGTCGTTCGGTAGATGCATTCTTGCCAAAGTCTCATCCCGGTACATGAAGAAGCATTTGTCAAGGTCGGTATACTCCATACGCAGATGCTGGTGGAGTAGACACGAGCAAGATTGAGACACCAGTGATCAGTAAGCAAAGCACCGTAAATGCTGGATCGTGCCTTGGCACAGTTGCTTAGTCAGCTGGGACCATTCGACAAACAGCGATGGTCAGGTTCGATCGAAATGCCTTGATATACGTGCCCTTTCGCTATGGGCGGGTGTTGATTCTGTGTACGGCTATCAATACTCATTCGTGCATATGGTTCAAACAATTCTGCCGCCGTTCTGCCTCGTCGGATTCGTGGAGGCAACAACCCAAGGCCAAGTAGACTTCATGCTAGATGTGGTCCGTTGCCGTGATCATGACGGAATTAGCAGAGGGCTCCGTCTGGGACTTACGATGGTTGTATTGGCAAGTTGAACCCCTGGCCATGTATTTGCGGGCAGTGACCCTTTGGCCTGGGCAATTCGACTGGCTGAAGCCCAGCGTGTTGAGGTCGGGGTACCTCTGCTTAGATAATCGACCAAATGCGCCACAGGTACTTGGTAGGGGTTTTTACTTTGGCCTGATACTATAGTAGTCAACTAGCATGAGGGACGCGAATGGAGCCCAATGAGCCACTGAGATAATTTGTGAAGAAGAATAGAGCCCGCGTTTGGCCGCATCGGTCGAAATGAGGTTCACGGATATATGACAAACGACCTAAACAGAGAAACGTCTCCTCAAACGGTTGAAAGGCGGGCGGGCAGAAAAGCACGGCTGAGAGCGGCAGAAAATCAATGTCAGGGGGGCAGAATCCGGAATTGGGAAGGCGGATAGATCTAGACGGCCGGCAGAAAAGCGCGGCAGAATCCGAAGAAAGAACGGCAGAAAAAAGAGTTCGAGATGGCAGAATAAAACCGGGGCGGCAGAATGAATCGAAGTTCGCTGATAGGTGCAGTAACCCATGCAGATAGCAGAATCAAACTTGGTATGGCAGAAACGCTGAACTGGGAATCAAATCCACGAGGACGGCAGAAAGATAAGTGGGGTCGAACTGCTTTGGGGGTGGCAGAATCAATTTGGAGCGGGGGAAACTGAGTGCCCGTCAAAGATGACAGAGCCCTTTTCCCGTTCCTGGTGGTGCAAGTTCGGACAATGCGAAATGATTGCGATGACGGCTTTGGCGGATTTTCGAGAGAACTCTTACATGCGCGTTGCATACCATGTAGGCCTCAGGGGTTGAAGGCCGTGAGGGTAGACGGGACTGGATAGCCCAGAGATTGCTAAGTAGCGATGCCCTCTCCTGACTATGCCTTCACACTCCAGTAAGATGGTGCAGGGTACTGGGACGGCATCCATCTCTGCAGAATCCGATTCTCACTAATTCCTAGTGCTTCATCGAAGAGTCGATCCTATACAGTGCTTGTTTCGAGGCCTTGATTACTCAGCTACTGTCGGACCTCACGCTGAACAGCCAACATACCTTCACTTGCGCAGTCCTCCAGAACCCGAAATAGACCCCGTATACTTTCGACCGCCTCTTTAAGCTGGAGCTCGTTACGAGCAAGTCGTAAGATACGTCCTTGATGATTTGGCTGCTCCTTAACGCAAACTACCGCAATCTCCGCGAATCCTTCGGACCTATGAGCCAGAAAAGCCACATGGTCGGCCAGTTGAATCTCGTCTTCAAGTCGCAGAATACGGTTCGAGAATTAGAAACCTCACCAGTATCGATGCCGGGCGTTGACTGCCTGGCGCGGGGGGGGGGGGGGGGGGAGGGGTTGCCTCCGTTTTGATAGTTGGACGATGGCCCGATGGAATTCAATCTCATCGTTGATTGTCCATAACAACGGCATTCTAGAGAGTAACTTTCCAGCCACATGATCCGGGCACGGGTGAGTCAACTGAGTTTCGTCTCTACTTGAACGTTGGGGAGTTCCACTAAAAGCTAAATTAGCGACCTCAGTAAAGGATTGAGAATCGAATAGCTGGCCTTGGGCAAATTGACGTTGGATCGATGGGAGACCAGACAACCAAAGCATAATTACCCTGTTCAGCTGGAATCGACAAGGGATACGACGCACCCCCAAGGCCTGTTAGATCAGACCGCGGGAGGTGTTGCAGCCGGTATTCCTTTGCGTTGCATAGTGAAATCGCCGAGGAGGACCATGGTTGGAAGGCAGCTAGGCGTTTCGACCGAGATAGCGACATTCTCCGCATTTCAAGGTGCCAGACCCAAGTGCCACCTGACCGGCTGAAAAGCTAGGGAGCCTCCCACATGTGCTTTGCCTACGTAACATAGGCACGTAAATTCGTATTTACTAACCTGATATGAGCCCGCAGCAATGCTGTTGGCTGACATCTCAGCTGCGGTACCGGTGGAGAGCCTGCCCGTAATCACCATGGCGTTCGCATGACAACGCCGAATGCAATGAGACAAAGGCTGTTGGCTGATTTCATATCAACCAACACACCAATGCAAGTGCAGCCCCCTGGTAGAATGAGGCAGTTGCGTTTGCATGTGCATGTTTGCAGCCGGTGAGAGGGTTGCGTTTGCAACGG